CTCATATCTAGTTTAGGAGTATGACATATGTTGTCTTCTATTGTTAGAATTGGTTTTTTGGCTGTTGCGTGTATATCCTTTTTGTTATTGATGATGGGATGTTTTAAGACGTGGAATCCTCTTGAGAGATTTTGTTTCACTACTCATGCCTGATATGTTGAGCTTCAGATTATTATCAAGTTACTTATTGGTGCAGATCTAAAATTCAGGCCCTGCAATGTGACTAACCTCCTTTTGCCATTTAATTAGTAAGAAGATGATAAATAGCAGGAAACAGTATTTTCTTATTTTCAGGAGGTGTTTAGAGTCGAACAGAACAGATTGATGGATAAGATAATTTGCTAGCTGCAAATTTACTTCATTATGTGATCTGTTTAGAAGTTTGCACATGATGATAATTGGGTAAAATAATAAACTATTGTGGTAGGTCTCATTACAGTATCAGGTGCTTTGTGTGTCTTGTAAGAATCTCAGTGCTTTCTTTTATTTAGAAAATGCGAGGATGTTGAAGATCTGTATCTGTTCTGAAATGTCCCTGGTGTCCATATTTTACTTTAAAAATTGAAAAAATTTCAGTAGGGTTTATGTTCTGATCAAGTGCTGTTTTGATTGGCAGACATAAAAGACTGAAGAAAGTATTTTTTGTGCTTCATCAAGAACTAAAGGTCATTGCTAGCGCTGTCATTTTATCTCTTTTCTTTATCTTTCCTTTATCATTGTTAACTTGAGTGTTTCTTCCTAATTCCAGAACCTTAAGCAGAGGCTCAGAGAGTATGCCGAGTTACAGTCAACAGATTGATGTTGAATTATTCGAAACCTGTCATGTAACAGAATGTATCCTCTATTTTCATACCTGAGCTGCAATCGGCTCAGACCTGTCTCCATCGCATTTCAGGTAGACATTCTTACAAACAGTGATGTGTTGCTTTTCCTCTTGAAGAATGGAGCACTTGTAAATGGTTATAGTTGGTCGTTCAAGGTGATTGGAATGGGGCCCATGGTCCTTGAAGGATCGGAGGTGTGATGTACAAATAGCTTGAACCCAAATTGGGTGTGTACAATGTGTAGAATTTTGGCTTTCGGCCACCAATTTTGTTCTAGAATTTTTTGACAGTTTTGTTTAATCATTGGCTTGCTAGAAACAATTTCTTTCAATGCGTATACAAATTATTGAAAAAAAGAAAAGAAAAGGCTTCTTAATCATTGCTTAGACTTTTGAAAGTACAGTGATTAATTTTTGTTTTTAAGTTAGAAATTGAATTTACAATGTTTAAATTGGTTGTGTATAATGTTTTTAAAATTTTTACTCTGCACAATTTATAATTTAACACTGTCCTTCAATTTTGTTTTTCCATCGTTCCTCGCTACTCGTACTAGGAAATGAAATGAACTTCTGAACCAAGTGAATTCAATTCACGGACTCAACTTGCAACAATTTCCCCAAAAAATTTTGTAATTATTCTGGAAAAGAAAACGACCACAAGAACATTATTGAAGATGGATTGAGACGCAAGAAAACTCTTCTATTTTCTTGACCCTCCAAGCTTTTGGAATTCCATCTCCAATTCTAGTTAGTTTTAAGTTCATTCCTCTGAAATATACCCTTCATCGGCAACCTCTGTGGAAGATCCATAGGACCTTATACAAAAGATGTAATAGAACACATTGACAAGACTCAACCCTGCAAGAAGGAAATAGTAATAGTCGAAACGTGCCTCGTTAAGGTTATCGGCCACCCAACTAGGTTTCCTGTTTCTCGAAGTAGTCTTGTTCACAATGTTAAACAAAGCAGTGCCAACAAATTTGCCACCACCATTGACAGGAAGAACAAGGAGTTACCGATGCGTGACTTGTTCACTGGTGCTGTACCCAACACTGAAGCTGTACCCATCACTATAAACCGTGTGAGAAGCCACAACATTGACATATTCACTGGTGCGTTAGGGATCTTCTCATGCCCCACGATGATTACTTTGCTTAATCTGATCTTTCAACAATTGCTGTGAGTCCCATGGCTATTACAGAGAGGAATAAACAGAGTCCCATCCTAGTGTTGACACTGATATATACTTGTTTTCCCCTGATCTTTGATGTTATTGGGATTATCACACGCTCGTAAACAACCCAAAGCACGGAAGTGAAGTAAACGATGACGATTAATGAGGCTGCCGGCATATGGAAGCCTCCGAAAACGTGTCGGTTCATGGCACTAGCTTGGAGAACCGGGAACGAGTACTGGTTTCCAGCAATTGCGATTACGATCCCCGTAGACCATACTGGGATCACTTTTAAAAGCGCTTTAAGCTCTTCCACTTTCGGGACAGTGCAAATTCTCGATGGGTTTAAGGCCAATCTAACGGGGACTATCTCCTCTTCGGCGTTTACAATAATGCTAGCTTTGTTCATAATCTGTCACTTTTAAAGGTAATCTCCGACTCCTTTTCGTAATGGTAACACGAATTTAGAGTCGGAAACGGGATGCTTCTTTTCTTATATGAAACCCAAATAACTTGTGCGAAACCCTAAAGAGGCTGGTGCTGGCTTTCTTCTTAATATAGAAGGGTGAAGCAATGTTAAACGCCACAGTGGACAACAACATTAGGAATGCACAAGTACCATATCCGATATTCCATCCACAGACTTGTATAATATAAACAACAACAGTCAAACCAAAGGAGCCACCGAGGGATGCTGCAGCATAATATCAGCTAAAATAGCTCTCCAGGATCTTTTAATTCTTGTTGGTCAATTGATCGGCACCGAATGGCATGGAACAAGGCCTAATGCCGCCTGCTCCGGTGGACTGGAAAAACAAGGCAGAGATCAGGATAGCCATCTGGCCTGCTGTGGCGAATTTGCAGCTGTGAGTTGAAGTGTTACAAGGAGGAGGTATTACCTGTGGTATAACGGTTGTTAACCATAAAATTGCAACTCCCTGAAACATGTAAGTAAGACCAGTTAAGCATAACAACTATTGTAGAAGACATAAGAAAGAGGTAAACTAATTACCAGGAAACTGGCAATCGAACCCAAGCCAATGGTAGCGAAACGACCAATATAAGAATCAGCGAAGAATGCACCCAAAATGTATGATTATAATGTTTGATGCATATTTTACTAAATTATCTTTGTGATATATGTTTTTTCCCCCAAAAGTTAAACTTTGATATGAAATTATAAATATTTAAATGAAAATTCATAGAAATATTTTAATCATTACACTACCTAACTTTTGAGAGGAAAAATACATTTAACATATAATTAGTATATCAATTTTTTATTTTTAATTACTTTTTATAAATATCATATTTATTCATAATAACATAATATAAAAAATAATATTTTAATCTCAAATGAAAAAATAATATAGTTTTCATAATTGTCTGTATCTAATACTCTCATAAATTATGTGTGAGTACACACTACAGCAAACATCAGTAGGAAGTAAAATATATTATTTCTTCTGATTATTTTCAATCCTTTTCATCTTTTCCCCTTCTTTTTATGACAATTGAATTGTTTAAATCTGTAAAGTGGTGTCCATGGTGTCTTAATGTTAGTTAATATATGCAGGAATCAAATTATCGAGACACTATCTAACCATTTTTAAGAATTCCCAGAACGCCATTTTTAATCTTAATGCTTTCCCCTTCTAGGAAAAGGAGGTTACGTGGTAACCCTAATTCTCTCTTTGCATGGCATCATGTCCATGAGTGCGTTGGACAAAACAAAATTTATTCAAACCTTTAAAAGGTGCACAAATAAATGGATGTTTGTCCCTACTGATAAAAACTCTTTTAAGAAAATAGTGATATCGGAGGAGTAGCAGAACAAAGTTGGACGATGTAAGGGCCAAACAAGTCAATAATGAAGGTTGGAATTAAGCCATTCAAGCAGCCTTGGGTGATCGCAGTTACTGATTTGCAACACGCCGATCCGATTTCCAGCTTGTTAGTCAAGAACACATGACAATGTCTTGAAAACAAGCTTCAATGTAGTACAACTGTGATTCGCATGATCCAATTTCATTAGGCACGGCAGCATGAGTCAAAGGCATTGCTATAGGTGGAGACCCGTTGGTAAGAGAAAAGAATGGAAACCGGGGCAGCGATGCCGGCGACACAGTTGCATCAGGAAAGTCCGAAAAACGTTTGCATGTGAAGGGATCTGCTTCATAATATAATGAACCGCCACCAGTTGCTTCCATGGCTGGCCATTGTGTTGCCCACAAGATGGAGCATGTTAAGAAAATCAACAATGAATCTGGAAACATTTTCATTATTTTTTTAGTATAAAAATGGGTAAGAAGTATACATTCAGGTAGCCATATTTTGCAACTGGGAATCAAATTATGTAAACCAGAAAATGTGGTTGGGTTTTATAGTGTGGGATTTGAGAAGTTAGAGTTGCAGCCGAAATTGTCCCTGCAATGAAAACTGGTTTTCATGAAAATGTTGTGGTAGGTCATGCACTCTTTTCTTTCCTAGTTGTTACTCCGGTAATCCATTGAGTGAAAACACAAGTTTAATGTGACTACTCTGGTGTCGTTCGTCCGTGGACGTCTATGGGTTTAAGAACCATACAAGCCTATGACACATAACATTAGCAGTGTCCCTTGACATATATAGATGGAAGTTCTTCCTTAACACTTTTCATGACATTAATAAGTACTTACGACTAGAAAATTCCAGAATAAGCATAAAGTTTGCAAAACAGAAAATTGAGATGCAACCCAAACAATTTATGGCTGAAAGCATCACTGCCAAATAAATATGTTGATGAATACTAAAAAGACATTTCGATCTTTAAATATAAAGCAAGATTGGGTAAAATTTACATTAATGGTGAAGCGTTAGACATATGCAACATATCCTTGCTACTGTAAACGAGAGAGCAAGTTTCGAATCATGAAACCAAGGCTCCCACCTACAATCAAGCCTCGGAGACAAAAAAGCACGTCAAAATAAAAGGTAAATATAAACCGGGAGATACGCTAAACTCCAATGCCAGGAATTGCTCCAACAAAGTATTGAATTTTCAATCGGGAGAAACTTTTTCTCTTAGGCAGTTCTCTTTGAAAAGAGAGATGAAGAATCTGACTTCTCAGCCAGATAGTGCTCAAGCATGTCTTCTTCATCGTCTGCAGTAAACCAAAGTGATCAGATAGTTTCTTTCATCTAATGTGTTTACACTTCTACCTTCAGTTTTACTAAAAATATATATATATATCTTAATTATGAAAAGCATAAGTAAACAGAATGTTCATGGCACACTCAAGTACTAAATAGTCTGGTCTACCAAGGGAGGGACTCACCTTCGAAATCATCATCATCCAAATCAACATCTTCCTCCTCTTCCTCATCATATTCTTCTTTGATAGCAGCTGCACCTTTCTGGAGTAGAGAAAGTCACAGACTCATGATTGCTTTCCACCATTCATCCGGTTAAATCTTAGTATGAATAATGTTAAATAGACTTCTCATCTTGCATGTATATTATATACTTTACTACTAACAAGAATTTTTTTAGTCTCATAGTCTTTCCCTTTTTAGCATGATTTAGTCTCAGATTCAACTTGGGGGAAAGACATGACTCATCATTCCCAGAAACAATAGTGGTTTCACAATACTGTTATTATATTATATTCTTATAACGGTGGAAATATATGTTAGAGAAAGAAATATCAACCAATGGTTACAAGAACTGGAAGTGGACCATCCAAATCCAACCTAATCATTTGAGATCATTAGCCAATTTAAAGGAACAATAATGTGCCTTTTGTGGGAGAAATGCATGGCGACAATGATATACATGTCATGTTTCCACAATGTTATAAAGAGGAAAAATTAGAAAGTATAATTACCGCACTAGCTCTTCCACTTTCAAACCACTGCCTGCCTGTGAGCTTCTTCTCTTTGGGTACCGTGAGAGCAGACTCAGGCATTAGTCTGAAAGTTGATGCATATAGAGTTTATTTTATGACAGTAAAATATATTATTTTGAATTTATAGGTTTTAGTTCTTTCTTCTAAAAACGCATAAGGCATGACAAACCAATAAAATTGTCCCTGCACTTAGCCAGAAGAGACGAAAATAGACAGGATTACTTCCTAACTATACGAACCAGACACTTAAAGGTTCAAAGTGACCGTGGTAATGAGGCATGATCCTCCACATACAGGGCAAAACTCAGCAAAAAGGCAAAATATGCATGTTAGACATGCACCAAATACCCAAGTTCAAGTAATGCGGTTCCAGACAATATCATAGCAGACTATAGGTAACCTCTCCCATCCAAGTGCTTTTGTGCTAAATTACACATAAAACAAATTTTACAGATGTGAAAAACATCTCCAGGATCATTTTCTTTTTTCTCAAGGAAGAGCTCCATAATGTTAACTGTGTTTCAAAGTGTAGAACAAGAACATAAACTGCATTTCTGTTATTTCCATTTTATCCTCGATGACAACAAAATTTTAATGGGAACATCAAGTACATGTACTAGCAAGGAAGACAGGTACCATTTAAGTCCATACTGCCAAACTTTTAGACAGTAACGTACAATGAATTTTAGCACGTTTAGCAGTACTAAACTTGCAGACTTGGGGACAAAAACCTAAAAAAAGTAACGAGTCTGAAAATCCACATATATACAGAAAACATTCAGCTATTGACTCACTTGGCTCGCTCTAGTGCCAACTCTGCTTCAAACCTTTCTCTCCATGCTGAAAATGTATCAATGGTAACAGGTTCTCCATGTGGAACAATTACCTGAAAGTAAAAGGTATGGTGAGGATATAGATCCATTTGCATAAAGACTAATACCTGCAATTAAGAGAAAATGCAGTGCTCTCAAACTTGAACAGTATCCTGATTTGTGATCATAATTAGCACAAAATTTTATGTTGTTCTTATTGGGTTTACCAGTAGATGCATTAAGCCTGTGTCAAACAAATCTAAATAGAAATATGGGCCACGCTGCTGCTTTGTTAGATAATCTGGGGTATTCTTACAGGAATCGACCGATTGGCATTAAGAATACTATCTACAGACCTATGCGCATACATGAGACCTTGACCTATACGATAGACATAGCATTGCATGCAACTAGCAGATGGGTAGCAATATAGAAATGCAAATAGAATTAGCTAAAAGATGATCAAAAGTAGAAGTTATATTTTCCCTTGAAAACAAAAATACATAGTCACACCTCATCTTTTCTTGCCTCCTCTTCTTCAGCATTGTCAGCATCAGCATCAGCATCTTGGCAATATCTTCCAGATAGCCATTCCTTGGCTGATGTAACCAAAGTGTAAATCATAGCCATTCCAAGATTTTCAGATGCCTGAAAGCACGAAATGGAGTGAGAGTCAGAACAACTGGGACAAATTAAGCTGTATTACTATAAGGAAAAAAAATGCTAATAGACATATCATCTATAAAACAATTTTCTTTGCAACAAACCATTAGAAAGAAGGTTTAATACATTAAAAGTATTCTATGTCCACTTCTGAATCACAAGGAAAAAGTTCAATTAATTAAAGATTAGCACACTTGTGATTCTTTAACAGTTCCCTGTCAGTAGGTTTTACATTTATCGGTTTGTGGTGGCAGGGGCTGGGGGGAGACATGATATGAACTCTAGCAGAAAATAGAACTTATGGAAGAATATTCTCCGGAAGCTTTATATATGCTTAAAAAGTAAATTAAAAGTTTCAGGTTACCTCCTGCTCAAGCTTTTCCTTCAAAGCTTTCAGGTCACTGGGTTGTATTCCCCGTATACTACAAAAGAAAATGAAAAACGCAGGCTACTTTATAAAGTTCGAAAAAAAGGATAAGAACATGTGGGGTAAAGAATGCATCTTTTAGACAAGATCCCAAATGCTCAGACAAAATCCATTAAATTCCAGTCCATGGATTAATCAATCAGCAAGCAACTAGCAGAAATTTGATGCAGTTCCTGATATCCATGAAAGATGGTAAATAACATCATTATCCAGAACTAATAACATTCAAAATATGATTAGGTATTTTAGTCTGAGTAATTGTATGAGTTAGACTCCAAAATAAAGAAACCGTCCAAGCTAGTCGGCAAGAATAAAACACTAGGATATAGCCACACAGCGGTCATTGACATGTTACTGCAGCCTTTCACATAAGGTCACTTAAAAACTAAATCAGAAAAAGAAAATCAAAAAGTAAATGGTAACTATTAGGGTTGATAACCTCGAAAAAAAGGTCATATTTTGTGTTTTTTTACTTAGGTTATTGGCTGTTTAAAAGCTCATTTAACTACATATAATTTGCATTTAGGTCTATGAAGATGCAATTGGTGGTTTAATTTTACTGCAACGTTTTATTGTTGAAATTGATGTTGCGTAAGGGGAAAGGTCTTGTTTTGTTGATGATGTGCAGGTAAGTGATGCTAAAGGACTGAAGAAGAATTCGAGAACACATTTTAGACGATATGTCTGGGTGTAGGAAAAGACAAAAATGACAAAGATATTTTTAATCGCTGTCGGCTGTCCACACGTGAAACCTCCTCTGCCATCTGCTCAGCCCAAGAATATGAAAAGAATATTTCCTTAGGTTACAAAAGGAATTAAAATCCCATAGTTAAGGGTGGAATTAACGAGTCCTTTGGGAGTTCGAATGTTTTATTGTGAATTTAAGAGTCTCTTGGGAGTTAGAGTGTTTTATTGTGACTTTAAGAGTTCTTGGAAGTTGGAGAGTTTTTGTTTTTGAGTATAAATAAGATAAGAGAGGAAGATAAAAGTGGGTGGCAACAAGAGACAAAACAAAGAGTTCCATTATTTTCTTTTATTTATTTTCTTCCTCATTTCCTGGTGTTCTCTATAGCCAAGCTCCAAAGGGATGGCAAGCTAGGCCTTTGAGAGAAGCTAGCTTGCTAAGGTGGTTCACGGTGGTTCAAGAAAGCTCACGGCAGTACTTGGGAGTTCTCTTCTCCTTCGTTGATTTTCACTTATATTTATTTGTGGCTTTTGTAATGGAACGAATGATTATTCTTGTGGATGATTTGTACCCCACCACGAACTAACCTTATTTGCTATGGGTTTGCGTTGGATAATTATATTTTGTTCTAATGAAAGGTTTATGCTTCCATGTTTAAATGTTGCTTTGTTCATTGTTTGAATGTTAACAGCTTAGACTTGTAAGAGCTTTCGAGAGTTAACCATTTTCAAGTTTTGATGCCTAATATCGAGAGAGTTAGTTTAGATCGACGTGAACAATGGAGATAAGCTGGGATGACAAGGCTTTAACTCGTCTTAGAGATAAGGAAAGGGTTTCAACGACTAAAATGGGTAGAACTTAATCGATAGGATTATGTTGTAGTTTACGCTGAGATGTATTACTGTAGCATTTTCTCTATCAGGTTCCTTACTATAGATAGCCTAGGAACACTTTAGTAAACCCTGTCGAGCAACATATTCATGGAAAAGGTGAACCATTCCAGAGACAAGGTATAGGATTGCTTAGTAAACCCAATCATTTATCCCTATTGTAGCTTGATTGTGAGAGATTGTCAAGTTATCTTATTTCATATTCCAATGATCAATTTGCCATAACAATTCTTTGTCTTTACTTTACCGTTTGCCATAACATTTCACAATCCACACTTCAATACTTTGCCACAACATTCTTACTCATTTGTTTATATTGTCATATAAACTATATTTAAGTCGTATATTTTTTGTGCATTAGCTTAACTTGAAAATTCCTTCAATCCTTGTGGAGATGATACTCACTCACTACTATATTACTTGTTCGATTGTATATACTTGCACAAATTTGTGTTTACTTGCACAAATTTGTGTTTAATTTATAACACTCACATACGCAACAAGGGTCTATTTGGTTGTTCATTTTTAATAACTCATTTGCTTTCAAAAGTGAAATTAAGTTCGAAAATTGGATTGAAGAGTTAATTTCATGGATAGCAAAAAGGTATCATCTCACAATTCAAGATATGGTGCAATTCATGAAACATGTACCTCTAATCCAATATTCAACAACAACAACAACAAAACCCAATTCCCATATGTATGGGGTAAGGGGGAGGTAGGGTAGTAGGCTGCCCCCAACGTCAGGTTGAGAGTAGCTTCCGTGGAAGACCTCCGGCAGTCAGAAAATTAAAAATATAGATAAAATTCAATGCATATATAAATAAATACATAAATACATAGCTAAACAGTATTCATATGCAGTCATTAAAATCATATGTGCGTCTGTAACGGGAATTAATCCCTGCATAATAATCCCTATGAAAGAATCTCTGCATATAGACAGAAACATAAGACCCGACTAAATTTAAAAGAGGAAACATGAGAAGAATGATACACAGAAGTCAACGATAGCAAGCCCAGTTCTAATCCTTCATAAATACCAATAACAGAAACGTATAAAAAGTAGAAGTCATGGAAAATACTACAAAGACATTAAAAGAAGACAGAGATGATACACCCTATAGATGTGACCCACACTACTCGACTACCTTAGTCTTTAGCCTCCATATTTTCCTATCTGAGGTCATGTCTTCGGTAAGGGCTAAATCCCTCAAATCAGATCTCAAGCAGTCTTCCCACTTCCGCCTTGGTCGTCATTTCCTTCTGGCACCGTCGACTGTAATCGACTCTACCATCCGACGGTAGTCGCCTAAGGACATGCCCAAAACCACCATAGTCTTCCCTCCCTCAATTTTTCGGAAACAGACACCACCCCCAAGGACATCCTAATCGCAGAGTTTGTCGTCATATCCCACAGAGTCCTACCACATGTCCATCGAAGCATTCTCATTTCCGCGGCCTCAATCCTCCTTACGTGATCCTTCTTGGTTGCCCAACATTCTGATCCATACAACAGTGCTGGTCTTATTGCCATTCTATAAAACTTCCCCTTAAGTTTTAGAGGCACCTTCTTGTCACACAGAACTCCAGTAGCGGCCCTCCACTTTAGCCATCCCGCCTTTATACGGTGTGTAACGTCATCATCTACACCCCATCTTTATGTATCATAGACCCTAGGTACTTGAAACAATCCTTTGAGGGGAGAACGTGTCCTTCTATGCATACTTCTACATCTTCATTGTTTTGGTTCCCATTGAAGTTTGAACATAAATACTCTGTCTTTTCAATATTGATCCTTAAACCTTTTTCTTCCAAAGCAGTCTTCCAGGTAGCCAGTCTACTATTCAACTCAGATTTTGTTTCAGCAACTAGGACAATGTCGTCAGCGAAAAGCATACACCATGGTACACCGTCTGGTGTCGCACAGTAGATGTCGTCCATAATCAAGGCGAAGATGTAAGGGCTAAGAGCCGACCCCTGGTGGAGTCCGATTTCCACCGGGAATGCCTCGGTGTCGCTAACTGTAGTCCTGACGTAAGTAGTAGATCTACAGTACATATCACGAATCGCCCGGATATAAGCAGTTAGGATCCGTCTCGTTTCCAAAGTCTTCCAGATCGTATCGCGGGGAACACTATCATAAGCCTTCTCAAGGTCAATGAACGCCATGTGAAGATCTTTAGACTTTTCCCTATATTTCTCCATAAGCCGTCGAAGTAGATGAATCGCCTCCGTGGTAGACCTGCCTGGCATATAAAGCCAAATTGGTTTTCCGAAACCCTAGTAACTTGTCTTAACCTAGCCTCTATCACCCTTTCCCATAGCTTCATGGTATGGCTGAGTAGTTTAATACCTCTGTAGTTACCACAACATTGGGGATCTCCTTTATTTTTATAGATTGGTATCACCGTAGACTCTCTCCACTCCTCTAGCATCTTGGCAGTCTCTAAAATGATATTAAAGATGTTGGTCAACCACTTAACTCCCTCTTCTCCTAGGGCCAACCACACAGTGATAGGAATTTGATCAGGACCGACAGCTTTGTCCCTTCCCATCTTTCTAAGAGCCATTTTGACTTCCTCAAACCCAATCCTACTTGTAGGGCAGTCATTGGCCGTAGTATGATGTACCTCTAATCCAATATTAAAAACACAAATACAGTCAGTAAAAGAAAAGGCAGTTGTTTTCCAGAACAATCTCATGTGGTAACTATGGAACAACCATTGTGATCAAGGAAACATTAAGACTTTTCCAGATAAGGGAAATGGAAAGGGAAAAAGGATGGTGGATTATTCTACCTAATAGCTAAGAGTCATAATCACCTTCCTTTTTTATGGCACAATATTTGGATTAAAAACTTTTCCGTCCTCCCCATGGAGCAAAGCTCACATGAGCTTCAAAAAAGGGAACAAACATTTCACCCAGTTCATTTGGGAAAACGTGGACAAACAGAAATATGCTTATAAATATCAGCATTCATATAGCCTATAGGTACATTCCACTGAAAGGACATACTGACCTTTTTACATTAAGGATTGGAGGCTCGTCTGGATATTTTTCTGTATTTTTCTGTATGTGAGAAAACCAAAGCAAGCTGAACTGCACCAGAAGTTTGGACAACAAATTATGTCCACAGGGAAACAGAAAACCCTGAACTAAGAGCAGCAATTGAAGTTCATAAAAATGATAAAATTAATGGTGTTTGATGTTGTAAATTTTGTCCATGTCTGAGTATAAATGTGGCAGAAGATAAATATCACACACTACATTTTGTTGGGTTGTAACTGTAACACCCCAACCCGTACCCGACTTGAATACGGGTCCGAGATGTCACATTGACATTTTTCAAAACCTTTACTCTTGTAAAAGTACTGAACATTTGAATTTATATTAAGGAAATACAGTCAAATATTCTTCAATTGTGTGTTGTATAAAAATTTGAGATAAAAACGTTTTTATGAATGGTGAAATACGATATGAACAGTAATACAGTAATCTGCTACAGTGATTTTTCGTAAATTGTACATAACACTCGTAAAACATTTAACAGTTCATTTCTTTGCATTCGTACTTATATATATATGTTTAACAGATTACAAAACTCGATCAGAGCATACTACCTAATTTGCCTACTTTATTTACATGCCAACCTATTTATCATAATAATACATACTGTGTACTTTACTTCTGATCTGGTCTTTGGGCAGAGATATGTTGTTACTTTGAACTTAGCTTTGATCCTTCTGCTTCTCAGTACCTACGTGTAAATCACTTACACGCTAAGTCATAGACTTAGTGAAGCAAAAACATAATAACAATAATGCATTTCTCATAAATATAAACATTCAATCTATGAATTCAATCGAGTCGCATATAATTCAGTATACATGATAACCTGGATAATAAATACCTTTAGTAACATTTCTCTACATACCATGGAACACATATATACTTCACAACAAAAACATATTTAGTCCATTTACTCTCTGTAAAGACCATGTATAGCCCATGTACTTTGAGAACTCAAGGTATGTGAGTACATTGAGGTTGTGCACCACTATGCTGTCAACAGCTCGATCAATGTCCCGAGGACCAGTCCATAGATTCCGAAGAACCTAGGTAAACAGTCCATATGTCCCGAAGAACATAGGTAAAACAGTCCATATGTCCCGAAGAACATAGGTAACAGTCCATATGTCCCGAAGAACATAGGTAACCCTCGACCCTTGGCATGCCAACTATACCCCTAGCTCTCATATCACATAACATGGGCATTATCATTTATGACCGTTCACATTACTTATTCATTCTACTTATAAACACATACCGTTTCTTTTCAGTCACGTATCACATATACGTGTAATCCTTGATCTCATAATCACATGTTCCTTTATTCTTATCACATACCATATGTATGTGTAAACACATATCTAATATCATATGTTGCATTTTCATGTAAGCATGTAAATCATGTAACATATAAACATACATCCATTTCTATGTACTAATGCATACAGAGTAATCACATAACATTAATAAGTTACTTCTTACCATAGTAACTCTATCATTGACTCATCGCAAGCCAATGTTTGATCAATCACATAAGTACAATTTAAATTGCACTCACCTTAGCCTTGCTTTGATTCGATTATTCCGGAACTTGTTTAGGCTCAATATCTACATAAATATATCATTTCAAAAAAACTATCAGAAGCCTAAACTTTAAACTTGATGTTAATAACTTAAACCGATTAATAAATCGAATTCTATATTTTCATTTAGGGGGAATCGATACCCCCCAGGGGAATCGGTACCCCTTAACATTCTGGAAATTTTTCGTTCAAGAAGGGGAATCGATTCCCCTTCATAGGGTATCGGTTCCCTCTACCCAGAAATTGCATTCTAAGCTCGAAAATCATCAATTTCAATTCAAACCTTCCTATTTTACCTCCCTTAATACTCCTAACTTTAATACACATACTTAAACTTATTTCTATTCCATAATCACTTCTTAACTTCAAATATAGTCATTCCTATGTAATTACAAAAATTTACTAGTTTTGCAACATGTTCAAATTCCTATTCTAACACTTCCTATCCCTTAATTAACTTGATTACAAGTCAAATTCACCTTTCAATTCTCAATATACACTTTATTTCAATATTTCATTCCAAAACTCCTAATCTTTAAATCCTCATAAACTCTTCATTTTGTTGTTTTAAAGCAAATTAATCCTTCCTTAATCTTACTTAGCATCTAATAATCAAAACTAAACTTAAATTTCAGCACATAATCAACTCAAGAGACAACTTACCTTTTGCTTGGCTTCACACGTGAAGAGAAAAATGAAGAAGGAAAAGAGAGAATAGATTTTTCTGGAAACTCTCCATCCTTATCCATATATATATATCATTTAATTATATTTTCAAGTCTAATGACCAATTTGCCCTTTAACTCTTTAGATAATTACAATAAACTTTTAGGAAATATTTCTGAACAAATCATTAAACTATTAAACTATTATACTTTAATCACCATATATTACAATTTTGGTCACTTACCCGTATTTTGGGATGTTACAAATCTTCCCCCCTTAAGAAAATTCGTCCTCGAATTTTCATTACACCAGGAGATAAGATATTGTCTACACATCTCCAATGCATTTTACTATAACCTTTCTTAAAATCCATATAATGTAACTCATTATATAGACAGTAACCTCTAGTCTCATTACTCCATACCAATAATCCATCTATAATGTAAATCACTGACGTACATATTCTTAAACTTTCCTATAACAATATTCTGCATCATTCGATCTTTTAATATTCTCCGAATTATAATGGGACACTTTCAATATATCTTACTTATCCACACACTGTACCCTAATATATATGTCACTGTCATATTACTATAAATAACTTCTAATTGAACTCTCAATTCTTTCACCAATTTACCACCAATATATATATAAACATGCAAGCCTAAATCAATCATTATCATAATGTATTTATTTCACACTAGAAAGATACCTGTATTATCTCCGGATCATCAAAATCTTCATTGGTATTGATATTATACATTCGAGCAGTGGAGCGTATTATTTTTGTGTAGAAGATTCAGATTGCTCCTACCTCTTCCTCTCCTTCTCCCTCTCCCAGGTATCATAACAGATCGTTCCGACTGTACTGATTCTCCTTTCCCCAATGGGCAATCTCTCACAAAATGTCCCATTTCACACATCGGAAACAAGGGATTCTACCATATTCCACCATGATATTCCACAAGTCTGACAATGTCTCTGTTGGGGTTCTGTCCTCACCAAATCCTACTGATTGGGTCTGTCTAACTTTCCCTGATTTGATTCTCTAACGGAGGATTCTACCCCTCCAGACCTTGCCTGAGACTGAGTACCAGAATCTCTACCCCTCTTGGGTGGTGCAGAACTCGATAAAGCCCCAGTTCTTTTAGATGATTGGGTTCTTTGATCCCCAAACCTTCATTCTGAGCTCTCTCTAGAGCTTTAGCACGATTTACTATTTCTTGAAATGAGGACAAGTTCAATACTATTAACATTTCTTTCAACTGGGTGCAAGCCCTCTACAAACCACTCACACACATCCTTCTCTGTTGGAATCAACTCCGCCGCAAAACAACTTAACTTATTAAACTCGCACTCGTACTCATACACTGTGTGATTCATCTGTTTCAGATTCAAAAATTCTTGCTTCATTTGACGGATAAATTGGTCTCCTATATACTTATGCTTAAATTCTTCTAAGAACAAAGACCATGTCACTTGATCATCGGTCATTCTCAAAGTGACATTTGTCCACCAAATTCTCGCTTGCCCACGAAGCAAGGAGACCACTCCATCTAACTTCTCTACATTAGAACAGCGGAGTCCATCTAACATAATTTTTACATCATTAAGCCAAAGGTCCGCAGCAACAGGACCTTCTTCGGCTTCACCTTTAAACTCTGTAGCTCCTAAACCCTTCAACTCCTTTGCAACATTCATTCTTGGAGTTGAAGTAACAGGAGGTTGATAACGCGTCAATACCGCATCTAATGTTCTAAAGAACACATCTTGATCAGTTACAGGCACTCCAGAAGGTGTCTGTTCTTCACCTTGCCTGGCCAGGGCAGGTGAATTACTACTCTCAGCGGGTCGATCATCTCCCGCTTGACTTCTATAACTATCATGTCCGGACATCTATTAAGAATAAACATATCGTTCTATTAGCAAAACAACATACTCATTACTATACCAGATCAGAAGTTTTCACTATTTTGTTGGCATGTATACATTATAAGACACCCTAGACTCTTGTTTATGCCGAGAATCGGCTAAACCGTAGCTCTGATACCATTAAATGTAACACCCCAACCCGTACCCGACTTGAATACGGGTCCGAGATGTCACATTGACATTTTTCAAAACCTTTACTCTTGTAAAAGTACTGAACATTTGAATTTATATTAAGGAAATACAGTCAAATATTCTTCAATTGTGTGTTGTATAAAAATTTGAGATAAAAACGTTTTTATGAATGGTGAAATACGATATGAACAGTAATACAGTAATCTGCTACAGTGATTTTTCGTAAATTGTACATAACACTCGTAAAACATTTAACAGTTCATTTCTTTGCATTCGTACTTATATATATATGTTTAACAGATTACAAAACTCGATCAGAGCATACTACCTAATTTGCCTACTTTATTTACATGCCAACCTATTTATCATAATAATACATACTGTGTACTTTACTTCTGATCTGGTCTTTGGGCAGAGATATGTTGTTACTTTGAACTTAGCTTTGATCCTTCTGCTTCTCAGTACCTACGTGTAAATCACTTACACGCTAAGTCATAGACTTAGTGAAGCAAAAACATAAACAATAATGCATTCTCATAAATATAAACATTCAATCTATGAATTCAATCGAGTCGCATAATTCAGTATACATGATAACCTGAGATAATATAAATACCTTTAGTACCTTTTTATCGTATAATACATATATCGAACATTCTCTACCATGGAACACATATACTACTTCACAACAAAACATATTTAGTCCATTTACTCTCTGTAAAGACCATGTATTAGCCCATGTATACTTTTGAGAACTCAAGGTATGTGAGTACATTGAGGTTGTGCACCACTATGCTGTCACAACAGCTCGATCAATGTCCCGAAGGACCAGTCCATAGATTCCGAAGAACCTAGGTAAACAGTCCATATGTCCCGAAGAACATAGGTAAACAGTCCATATGTCCCGAAGAACATAGGTAAACAGTCCATATGTCCCGAAGAACATAGGTAACCCTCGACCCTTGGCATGCCAACTATACCCCTAGCTCTCATATCACATAACATGGGCATTATCATTTATGACCGTTCACATTACTTATTCATATTCTTACTCTTATAAACACATACAGTTTCTTTTCAGTCACGTATCACATATACGTGTAATCCTTGATCTCATAATCACATGTTCCTTCTATTATTATCACATACCATATGTATGTGTAAACACATATCTAATATCATATGTTGCATTTTCATGTAAGCATGTAAATCATGTAACATATAAACATACATCCATTTCTATGTACTAATGCATACAGAGTAATCACATAACATTATATAAGTTACTTCTTACCATAGTAACTCTATCATTGACTCATCGCAAGCCAATGTTTGATCAATCACATAAGTACAATTTAAATTGCACTCACCTTAGCCTTGCTTTGATTCGATTATTCCGGAACTTGTTTAGGCTCAATATCTACATAAATATATCATTTCAAAACAACTATCAGAAGCCTAAACTTTAAACTTGATGTTAATAACTTAAACCGATTTAATAAATCGAATTCTATATTTTCATTTAGGGGGGAATCGATACCCCCCCCCAGGGGAATCGGTACCCCCTTAACATTCTGGAAATTTTTCGTTCAAGAAGGGGAATCGATTCCCCTTCATAGGGTATCGGTTCCCTCTACCCAGAAATTGCATTCTAAGCTCGAAAATGATCAATTTTCAATTCAAACCTTCCTATTTTACCTCCCTTAATACTCCTAACTTTAATACACATACTTAAACTTATTTCTATTCCATAATCACTTCTTTAACTTCAAATATAGTCATTCCTATGTAATTACAAAAATTTTACTAGTTTTGCAACATGTTCAAATTCCTATTCTAACACTTCCTATCCCTTAATTAACTTGATTACAAGTCAAATTCACCTTTCAATTCTCAATATACACTTTATTTCAATATTTCATTCCAAAACTCCTAATCTTTAAATCCTCATAAACTCTTCATTTTGTTGTTTTAAAGCAAATTAATCCTTCCTTAATCTTACTTAGCATCTAATAATCAAAACTAAACTTAAATTTCAGCACATAATCAACTCAAGAGACAACTTACCTTTTGCTTGGCTTCACACGTGAAGAGAAAAATGAAGAAGGAAAAGAGAGAATAGATTTTTCTGGAAACTCTCCATCCTTATCCATATATATATATATCATTTAATTATATTTTCAAGTCTAATGACCAATTTGCCCTTTAACTCTTTAGATAATTACAATAAACTTTTAGGAAATATTTCTGAACAAATCATTAAACTATTAAACTATTATACTTTAATCACCATATTATGAAATTTTACAATTTTGGTCACTTACCCGTATTTTGGGATGTTACAGTAACAAAAGAAAAACCTGGTGTTGATTGGTCTGTGTCATAATCCTGTTAAACACAAAATGTGGAAATTAGATGAGGAGAAAAATAGTTGTCAATGCATAAGAAATTAGAATCGTGGAGAAGGAATAATGATATTGAGCAGAAGATAAGCATGCAAACATCTTAATCATTTAAAGGTGCATTATTACTACTCAGTAAATGGCTCTACTTCTGTTAGGTTGTGGCATTTTAAGGTTACCATAAAAAAGCTAGAATAAAATGAGCTTACACACACAAACACACAAGAAGAAGAAGCGATGGCATAACCAGAATGGTAGATAACTTTATGTCTCTGATAAAACGCACCTGAGGAGATATTGTTATTTGGAAGCATCTATTCGAAATGCTTAGTCCACTCTCCGTGGAGTGAATTTCTGATATAAAAGAAGCAATCATTACAGGTCAGGAGGGAATGGGAAATTTTAGCAGGCTGAAAGCATGAGTTTAACAAAAACAAAACAAAGTAACCTTTGAATTCATCCATAAGTATTGCTTCTAAGGCTTCAATTTCCATCTCCTGCTCCTGTGCATGGTCTGTAAACATAGATAAACAATCCATGTAAAAGGAAGCATATCATAAGCCTATCTCAAGAAAGCACAGATTCTTCTAACAATTGGTTGAAAAAAGGTTTAGTATTAAAAGATTGAGCAGATCATGTTTCATGTCCTTAGCTAGTTGTTTGGGAAAGAAAGGTAGTTAACATGTATCTTTATGATCAGGGTAACAGTATTTATTACTGCCCTTGCAGTTTTCCGGCTGATCAGTGATTTATCAGGTTGAACAGCAAATATATGCTTGAGATTCTCTAAATTCTGTACTTCAAAGCTTTGTTGCACCATTAATACTATCTTTGATTTTAAGACGTCCATACTTATTAAGTAAATTTCATTAAATGTTACAAAAACCAACCCAAAAGCCTCCATAATCACGAGAGGAAAAAAAACATATATATTCATTCCATTTCACCCCCAAAAAATGCCATTGTGTAAAAAAGAAAAAACCCATCGCTCATATCGAACTTTGAAGAAACAAAAACAAATTGCATAGTTGAACACCCTAACAAAAACAATTGAATTCTAAGAAAGAGAGGTAAAAACTCAATCATGCAATTTGAGATTGTTGGATGGACGGTCTCAACAAACTTGATTAGCAACAGAATAGTATAATTTTTTAAGCAAAAAAAAAAAAGAATTACCGGTCATGGTTGTGAAATTGGGATAATATTCCTTTTGTGCCTTTTGTTTTTGTTTTCTGATTTTCTTTTTATGGAACTTCTTTATTTTGGATTTGATACTGCTCTTCCTCTCAAAGATAATCTAAGCTCGATATAATGTACCAGACACGATAGTCTTAATATATGATTAAAAAATATGTTATCAGAAATATTAATATTTTTTTAATTTTTTTGGTAAAACGTTGATTAAAATATTATTTTTTCTATCGAAAATATTAATATTGAACGCTATTTAAAATGTTTAATATTTTCAGCAAAATGTGACTTAAAACATTATTTTATATATCGAAAATGTTAATATTAGGTTCTACCGAAAATTAATTAGCGAAAATAACATTTTCAATAAAAAATAATATTTTAAATATTACGTCTCCATTAAAACTTCAGCTCGATAAAACATCAATAACTCACTTCCTTCCAAACGCAGCGTTTCAATTTCCTTCTTTTCGGAATTCTAAAAAAATATTCCTTCTTTTCATCTTTATTCTTTTACTTAATACGAAAAAAAAATCAAATTATACATATTTTTATTTTGATGTCAAATTTTTCCAGTCACTTTTAATATTTAATATTACAAACATTATTATTTTGATAGTTTACATTGTAACATTTATTAAGAAAATATTATCAACCACTCAAAATGTGATACATGCTACATTTATAATTTTTTAAATATTATTTAAAAAATAAATTTATTATTATTTTCTTTTAAAATAACCTAAAAATATTTCTAAACTTAAAAAAACTCCCAAATCCTTAGTCCTAAAACATCAATCCTATTTGTCGGCTAACCCTTGTCGCCTGTTTACTTATCCATCACCGAGTGTTACTTATAACTTTATTTCCATAAAATACATAAACTCAAATATTTAAATTTAAACCTTAAATTCTAATATATATCTATTTTAATTAACGAGTAAGTAGTGACGGGTGAGTAATCGACAAGTATGTGGATAATCGCCGGCGATCAAGATATATAATGATAAGAAGAAATATAAATCTCGACAAATAATCTAAACGATAGATAATGTAAACGTTTGCTAGAAATGATTTAAAATCTTTAAGGGGGTTTATATTATTATTTTAAGAGATATATTAATCGAGAGATAGAAATAGGAAAATGAAAGTTCTCATTGATCACACATTATGTTGAACAGCATTGATATTGGACCAAGGTTAATGTATTGACTATTGAGAGAATAAAATAAGTTGGAAGAATTTTAATTTTTTTAGAAAATATTAACAATGAATTCAAGAAATTTAAAAATTAAATTAAAATTTATTCAAGAATTAAATTAGAAATTAATTATTTTTATTAACATATTACATTATTAATAGACCTAGTATTAAAATATAATGAAATAATAAAATAAATAATCTAAACACAATTTTTCAAATTTTAACGATTAAAATAAAAATTAACGCAAACAAAAATGACTTCCGGCTATAGTTTACCATTATTTCTGTACTTGTTAATTATAATATTTCATTTCTGTCTTCAAGCTTCTATCAGAAAAGCCAAGAAAAGAAATAGGGTATGTTCTTATTTGATGATCCAAACAGAAGCCTCTCAATTCTTCGATTTTTTTTCCCACTCTTCTTCACTTCATTCTTCATTTTCTCTAGCTCTTTCTACTCGTACATTTAGCCCAAAAAAACCCATAAAATATTTGTCCAGAAAAAATGAATTAAAAGTGAACATGCACTTAGAAATCGTTCAAGAAAAACTCAGAAAAACCGAATTTTAATTAAGGAACGTTGCAAAAGAACCAAAAGGTAATCTTCGTGTCAGGAAAAGGAGGACAAATATTTTTCCAGATCCTTATTTTTGCTTGTTTACACTGGCTTTCACTCTCACTACCCGGAGATCCTTTTTCTTTCATAAACCCCTTCAACCTGTTTCAAGATTTTCTTTTATGGTTTTATCTTTGTTTCTTTTCTGGATTTTTAGTCGCATGCAGGATTAAGGTTTCTGTTCTTATTTATTTTTTTTGGTTTTAATTCAGGGTTTAGAGGGCGTTTGCATTTGTTCAAACAATCAATTGTTTTGGCGATTTTAGAGTATTGGGCCTGCTTCAAAACGGAGATTAAGGATTGATTTTGAAAGATTAGTTTTTTTAACCGTTTAATTTCTTCGGAGGATTTTGTTGGAGGGGATTTCTGATGGGGAGCCCCGATGAGACCAACATAAGGGACATTGATGCGTCGGTGGGTGAATTGGTTTGGGTCCGACGCAGGAACGGTTCTTGGTGGCCGGGTCGGATTATGGGCCTTGACGAACTCTCCGAGGGTTGTTTGGTTTCTCCAAGATCCGGTACCCCTGTTAAGCTTCTTGGTCGCGAAGATGCAAGCGTGTGAGCCCATTTTTAATCTCTTAATCACTTTTTAGATTTCATTTAGATAGGGTTTAATGGCTTACATTCCTAGTGACGATTCATTGTAGTTGTTTTCTTGTATATACATGCATTTGTTTAGTATTTCACTATTTTGATAGTTTTGTCAATTTTTTATTCTTATGTTCCTTAGTCAATAATATAATAATATGAAAGGGGAAGCATTTGCTTGTATTACATATATAAAATTATCTATGGTTCTGTTTTGGGGAGAAGATTGCTTTCTTGTGGTTTTGGCCTATAATTCGCACTTTTTTCTTGGTAACTATGGTTTTTGTGGTAACATATGGTGTAAAAAAGAGTATTTGAATCAAATTGAAATGCCTGCTTGTTTGCTTTGGTGAAATAGGGTTGTTTGTGCTTTTAGACAACCATTTAACTCATAAGGTATACTATCTTGGGAATGAAATATTGCGTTGCTCTCTTGGAACTAATTGAAGCTTTAACTTTTGGTAACTTGAGATTCTTTTTTTCATTTAGCATTGTTGATTTTATCTGCATTTTACTCTGTAAGAGCCCTTTATATATAAAGTTTTAGTGAATAGTCATTAGCGAATTTCTAAATCAGTTCAGTAGTCCAGTGTTTGTCCTGTCAGACAGTTGTAGAGGTTGTAACCGTCACTTGTCGCAATTGTCACCTTTCAGCTTTCGGATTATGAATCAATCAATTAAAATAATAACATAATTAACCAATGCTTGAATAGATGACTTCTTTTTTCCTTTTTAGATAATGACAAATTAGGTTGAAGGTTTTACCTTTATATCCCGTCATTATATTTAAACCTTGTTCAATGCTGTATGATTTATGAGTAAAGCACTGTTAGTGCTGCATTTGCTTCTTCCAATTTTAAAATGATTGACTCCCCTTCCATCAAATAAAATTTTTCTCTAGAATGTTTATCTTTGGAGACTGAAATATGTTGCCCCAATGATCGTCATCAAGTGGAAAGTGTTTACTGTGCTTGGAATATGTTCTCATTACTTTGTTGATTAAATCTCCTTCATTTTTGGCTTTAGGGACTGGTATAATCTTGAAAAGTCTAAGAGAGTGAAGGCCTTCCGTTGTGGAGAATATAATGAATGTATTGAGAAAGCAAAGGCTTCAGCAGCAAATTCTAACAAGAAAGCAGTGAAATATGCTCGAAGAGAAGATGCTATTCTTCATGCTCTTGAGATTGAGAGTGCACGTCGAGGCAAGGATCAACCAGATTATTTCCCTAGAAAAGATAACTCTGGTGGTGACAAGAGTAGTTCGGCCAGAGAATCACCCACCATGTCACATTCTGGGAAAGAAAATGAGGACATGTCTGATGAAATGAATGGATCTGAGGATGCTTCAGATTCAGCTCCAGAATTATCACAGTCTGGGATATCATTTGAAGAGCCAAATCATATTAATGGTACTATGGGGTACTCTAAGTTGATAAAGAGAAGAAAAACACCAAATGATTCCGAGGATGATGGATCAGAAAGAATCAAGCGCATGAGAGGACTTGAGGATCTAGGTATGGGTGTAGGATCAAAAAGAAAAGCTCAGGCTGCAGGTGAACTTGAACTAGTTCAACAAGATAATTCTTCATTCTATGGAACAAATGCTGGAAGTTACCTTTCTAATGGAGGTCCCATAAATGGTAGCCGAAATCATTCATCATCAGGGAAAAGAAAGAGATCTCAAGTGGCAAATGTTCATGAATTTCTCAAAAGAAAAAACCGGCGTCGACCATTAACCAAGGTTTTGGAGAGTACAGCTATTGTGTCAGTTCCAGTTGTTTGTGATGAACATACAAGCTCAAGTGGCTCAGCCCTTCAGGGACTTTTTGACAGCAAGATATCAGGAATCGATTCTAATGAATCACGCAAAAGTGCACCTGCAGTAATTGACAATGGCCACAACAACAATACTAACAACTTGGATAGTACTGGAGTTTCATGCGGGAATGGTGTCTTCTTAAATGCTTCTGAACATGTTGCCGACACTGATGCATCCCTAACTAATAATAAGGCAAAAGAAAATGAAATTTCCAGCTTACCAGAGTTAGCTGAAAATGAATCTTCTAATAGGCTATTTGATGTGCCGTTTGTTGGAGAAGATAAACCATCTGCAGGTATTCTGGATTAAACATTTATGAACTGTAGTATTTCTTGTTACAACCACATCATTCTTGTGTGCATAAACATATTCTTCTGTTTTGGTTTTGTTGCAGCTGATGGGTACATTGTTGTTTATTGTCTTGTAACTGTTCAATGTTTTCATCATATGTCTACATAATGTTGGTTTTGTGTCTCCATTAAGATATCCTCCTTGTATTTAGCTTTGACCGCGGCTTGTGATGAGTTTTGTGTTATCCTTGTCTTAATAAATAATATGATACGTATTATATTATTTACGTATATTATTTACGTGTTGGGAACTACATAACTCAGGTCTTGTGTTTACATGATTGTGTCTAATAATATTTATAATACATGAATACAGACATGTACTTATTTCTGGTTATGTGGTGACCGGGGCCAACTGTCTGCTAACAGAGGTCTAATCAGAGTTGTTCATCAACTGATTTAGCTTAACTACATCTTGTTTGACTTTTTAGGGATTCTAAATAGCTATAGCTAATGAACTGCAGGCAATATTGTGAGTTTGTATGTTGTAGGATTGAAAGTTTAACACATTGATGTTTATGCTCTCACTCTATCAAAGGGCTGAACTCAAAACTGCATTGACAATAAGGCCATAATTTGGACCTATAACTTGAATTTTCCTACTAGTGGTTCTTGTTGAATCACAATATGCCGGGAGATTAAGTTGAGTTTTTGATAACTAGATGCAAGAATGTTCTTCCATAAGCTGGGTTCTTTTACCTTTACTCTCTTGTCTTTTTGCAGCAGTAGAATTTTAATTTTTTTTTACTATTGTTACTGATAAATCACTTTATTCCGGCAGATTTTTCTCCAATATTTGTATCTTGTTCACCCGAGACTCCTGAAGTCGGTGATTTGGGAAGGCAAGCTGAAATTGAGGGACATACTGAGCTTGGTTATACCAAATCAGTAGATGTTCATGTAACTAGTATTAGCCAGATGATAGAGAAAGGAACTGCTGACTGGCAGTTAAAAGGAAAGAGGAAGTCAAGACAAATAAGTAAAAACAAGAAACACGACTTGAGAAAATATCATGATGCTGATGATGAACCAAATGCTTATTTAGCAGGTATAGAGTGCTTGGATGGAATTTTTAAGGGTTCTGATCAGAAAGTTGGTTGTGATGGTGTTGGTGGGTCAGTTGCTCCGTACTATTGTGCCTTGCAACCCAAGTTCAAGTCAGGTGTTGAAGAGCAGCTTGATAGTTTGCAGGACTGGAAGCCTGTTTCTCAGGAGCCTCTTGTGGGGGGACCAACAGCGGAAACGAAAACATTAGCTGATGATTCTCTGACCCCTCAAAGGTCACTTCCGTACCGTCAGCCCCGTTATATGGTTCACTCCAGATATCAGATGACAGATTTTCCTGGAAAAACTTATTCTGCTGATTCGTCATTATACAATGTTAAGATTGAGGTGAAAGCTAACTATCAGCCACAGCATGTTCCTTTAGTTTCCCTCGTGAGTAAGCTGGATGGAAAAGCCATAATCGGTCACCCTCTAACAGTTGAGGTTTTGAGTGATGATTACCATGGCAATCTGACTCATGAAGCCGCCTCTATGAAGGGCCAAAAAAAGTCTGAAGTTGGTCATTTAGCGAAGCGAAATTCCAAAGGTGGACCAGTCTCTAGGAAGCATATGAAATTGCAATCACATTTCCTACCCCGTAAATCAGCAAAAGAAAAGAAATCTAGGAAATATGGACTATTGTCTAAGAAGACTCGGAAATTGTCTTCATTGACTGGTCAGAAGATAGGTGCAGGTGACCGGAAAACAATAGCGGAGAAGCCTAATGGTCCGGTAATAGCTTGTGTTCCTCTAAAGTTAGTATTCAGTAGGATAAATGAAGCAGTAAATGGCTCTGTGCGGCCAAAATACTGACCTTTAACATCCGCCAATCCATGAGTAGGTGATCCCTTCTATAGTGAATGTGCTCACATCCGGGATTTTATTTTCATTTGAAATTGCTTGCGACGACGAGCTTGCATGCATTCATTCTCCACAGTTAAAATTAATCCTATAGGATTGTTGCAGAAAAAGAAAGCTGGTACGGGTATGAATGAAGAGGATGATGGAGATGGGCTTTGTATATATGAAACATTTAAAATGAGGTTGGGGTTGTAAAGAAAGTTAATATCCATGGCCTGATATTGGTTTTCTTTTCATAAATTTCAGGTTGATTGAGTTAATGGGGGCGACTAACATAAATTTTGTTTGTTTTATTTGTACCTTTTTCTTTTTCATTGGATTTGAGACTTTCCCAAAGGCCCCTTTATTTTAATGCGAATAATTAATAAAACTTTTGACATTTCCTATTTAAAGTGCTAAATTTTATTTTTCAATTGACTTCACTTGCAGGCTTATTTAGGGATATATCATCCTTTTTGAGATTATTCACGTGTAACCTATCCACTGCCATTTATTTAGTTTTTAGAAGACTCGCTTCATTTTACCTTTCAAAGTTTGCTTATTTTTAATTTATCCTTTATATCGTACATTTAATACGTGATTGAGTTGATATTACAAATTATTAGGAGGATAAAATAGTTTTTCAAGTGAGAACAAATAGTATTTTGATAACTTTTTTGTCATTTTATATTTTGATATAATTTGTAAATAAAAAAATTAAAACTATTATTTAAGAATTAAACATGAAACTAATGAGTTTATGTATTATTTTATTTATGATCTATATGAATGAGTATGATAAAATCTAATATTTTAAAATGTTTCTATAAAAGTAATTTGATTACCTTTTAAGAACTATTTTAAATTATAATAATATGAACAAAATATTTTAGTATTTAAAACAGAAACAAAAATATTTAGTGATCGAAAGAATAAAAAAATATAAACGCTATAAATATTAATTTGACGGGCTGCAAAAGCCCAAAAACAAACCTGAAAAGGAGCCGTAGAAACCCTAGTCTGTAATCAATATATATTTGTTAATCTCGATAGTTTCTTTCTGCCACGTTCGTCCTAATATTATTAAACCCTGAAATCAACAGGTTATTTTCTTACTTTAGCACAATTTAATAGTTCGTTTCTGATTTTACTTACTGTGTTCGGAGGATTTTAATATTAGTGAGTGGATCTGGTGCAGTGACGTGCAGGGAAAGAGCAAATGGCGACAGTTCCCGGACAGTTGATCTGGGAGGTAGTTAAGAAGAACAATTGTTTTCTGGTGAAGCAATTTGGAAGAGGAACTGCTGGCCTTCAGTTCAGCAAAGAGCCGAACAATATGTACAACCTCAACTCCTACAAACATTCTGGTATTGATGGGATTTTGATTTGAGGATTTTGATCTCAGGTTTATTGGAAACTTGATATCGTAGTTATTTTACTTTGCTTTCCTTACTCATTTCGGTAAAAGCGAAATGGAAACGATGTTATCTGCGTACGCAACTAATTTTATAGATAAATGCTTAAGAGTTGATGGGAAATGATAATTGATGTAGAACTCAAACAAAGGTAGAATAGTCCGGATCTGAAAAGTTGAATTTATGACTTTTACAAGCTATGATGCCTATTTGCCTAATACATTTTCTTTAATCTTTTCCGTTACCATTCAAAGCGGGGGCAAAAGATCAGTATGTGCTGCTAGCAACCACCAAGACTAAGAAGCAGAACAAGCCTTCCAGCTTGCTTCACAAGTCTGTCATGAAAAAGGACTTCTCCAGTATGGTCAAAGCAGTCAAAAACCAGGTAAATAGATATAGTTTTCTGAAACATCTCTTCACTCTTTTACTAGGTTTGCCGTCAATGATTTACTAATTGTTGGGCTTGTCTTGCATTCTAAAGAAATTGTTTGTCTAATCTCACATTTAAAGCCACCTTTTTATTTCTTATCCAATATTTGGTCCTAAAGCTACGGGGTTAATTTGTTGGATTACTTGAGATATGTCAAAAGGAGTTGTTTGCTTGCATTCGAATATAAATTTTCCTGGAGATCTTGCAGTGATGAAGCAATAACGTGTAAGAAGGATCTGTTTGTTGGGTTCTTTTGTGAAATGCACTTGTTACGCTTGGCTTCTGAGCTTTGAAAGTTGTATTAAGTGTTTCAATGCTTATTGCTGTGGTTATTCATATAGGTTTTCATTAATAGTCTGAGACTCTTATGCATCTCTCAGTGATATCCGGGTATCCGGGCAGTTTAGTTTTAGGTGTTTTTCTGGTTGGTTATATAAGTCAAGTCACTTCTCACCATAATGTTCTATTTTATGAATATTATTTTCTCATGATGTATGTTCCAAACATTACAGGTGACAGACAACTACTACAGGCCTGATTTAACAAAAGCAGCCCTTGGAAGGTTGAGCGCTGTGGACAGGAGTCTGAAGGTAGCCAAGTCTGGTGTCAAGAAGAGGAACAGGCAAGCATTGAAGGTTCGTGGCAGAAAGTGAGCTAGACCTTTCATGTTGTATGTGCTCTGCTATTTTCTCTACACCAGACAATTTTTTACCTCTTTTTCGAAATTGTCCTTTTTTTGTTCGATAGAATTGTCTTATTTTCATTGATACTTTTTAGAATTTTAAATCTACATTACTTCAACAGAATGGATCAGCATGATTCTTTGTTTAATAATTTGGCTATTTTACTTTCTAATTTTCACCTGTATTGAGAAAAGTACATCATTTGGCTCTACCTGTCTGCCATTGCAATTATATAGCCAACAATTATCATCCTTTACAAAAGAAAATCTTGCATCTTTTGTTTGTATATAACAAAGGGGTAAATCATAATGTGTGTAGATAATATGGAATTATAATTGTTTAAGGCTTTTCTTACTTGGAATTATTCAGATTACTTAACATTTGGTATTGCCAATGGCTGACCGCTATACCAGAAAGCTGAATGCTAATGTAAGAATCTATTGAAAAAAAAACTAAAATAAAGAGCAAGTGGGCAACGAAGTTTTAGAAACCAGCGCACTGATGAATTGCTTATCCATAATCAGAATATTCGTTATTGGTTTTCCGTTTGCGATTCTTGAATACACAATTTTAGACAAAAAAGAAGAAGCATACCAAAAAACAAATGTTGCCGAAAGGTATTTACCAATGCAACATAATTTGTAATGTGAAAATGTCTTAATTCACAATGTTGCTCTTTAACAACACTTGCTTTCTCTATCTCACCATATTTCTTATCCATTTTGAACTTTAAAATCTTGTGCTGTTGTTCATATTTGACCCCTGAACATAGCAGGTGTTCGAAAACACTGGACTCTAATCAACTCTTGACATCATTCTTTTATGGTATCTAACCTTGTTGAAAACTTTCTGGTAATTGAAACTTGAAAGTTCAATAAATTTAAACGGTTCCAGAGGCGTTGAAGGACGTGGATAGCATAATCAAGGTTTCCGTTCGATTCCATAATTAGAGTTAGAGATCATAATATGAGTACATCAAAAATTGGTTCTTGATTCGTTTTTTTAGAAGTTTTTCTAATAATATAATGACTATTTTGGGTTGGTATGAGAATTTTGTTTTTATTTGAATTTTTCATAATAAAATGTACATTGGTCCCTCTTTTAATATTTAATTCATAATACTATATTTTTTATAATCTCATACTATTAAATAAAATCTATGACCCAAAATATATAATAAAATAATAAGTCAAAATGGAACAATAAAAGGATTTAAGATAAATAAATAAATAAATATATATATATATATATATATATATATATATATTAGAAGAGCCAAATTGTGAATTAAACCTATGAAAATAATAGAGAAAGCGGTAAATGTTGGGAAATAAAACGAGAACGAATAATTTTCCTATAACCAGATTAGTGAGAATGCGAAATAAAAGCGGAAAAATAATACCCGAAATTGATAATGGAGTTCAACTAATTATGCCTACGTCTTCGGACTGCTGCAGATCTTTTACTAAAGAGAGAAAATTTACAGGTGTTTACAAAACACTCACAACTCACAAGAAAACTCTCTAGTATTGGGAGAAAGAAATGATTTGGGATAATTTTGAAGCTAAATGGGTTAGGGTATTTTATAGTTGAAGCTTAATGAATAATCTTGTAAATACCCTAAAGTGTGCAGGGACTAAAATGCAATTTCTCCATCCACTTTTCAAAAATTGCTGCTCCTTTGTTGAAACTCATTTTAGCAGTGCCAAACTTTGAAATAAACCATTGTGCGGTGTCAACTTTGCTTGACTTTCAACAATCTCCCACTTGAAGACTGATTTTAATCTGTCTTCACACCTTGATCAATGCAACAACATTTCTGCTCTTGTTACTCTAGCATGCCAACTGAAGGTGAACACAACTTCAGTTTGTCCGTAGTCACCATCTTTGTTAACTTGTCTACCGAATTTTGAGCTCAACTAATATTTTCAAGTTTCAAAATCCCATCTTCCAGAAGAGACCAGATAAAATGATATCGTAATTGTATGTGCTTCGTCCTGGAATGAAAAGACGGATTCTTCGCTAGATGGATAACATTTTGATTGTCGCAATACAAGACATTGTTTTCTTATTTCTTGCCTAACTCTTCCAAGAAACTTTGGACCCAAACCATCTCCTTGTTGGATTCCGTAACAGCGACATATTCTACTTTAGTTGTGGATAGAGCAATTATCTTCTGTAGTTGAGAAACCCAACTCACTGCAGTACCTCCTATAGTATAGACATACCCTGTAGTGCTCCTTCTGATATCAACATTTTCGGCTAAGTCAGCATCTACATAGCATGTCAGTATCGTATCTCCACCTTTGAAACAAAGTGCTTTGTTTGTGGTACCCCGTAGATATCTGAGGATCCATTTCACTGCTTCCCAGTGTACATTGCCTGGATTATTCATGTACCTGCTAACAGCTCCCACTGCATGAGCAATATATGATCTAGTACAAATCATGGCATACATCAGACTTCTAATTGTTGAAGCCTATGACACCTTCACCATGTGTGCACGTTCTTCCTCCGTCTTTGGTGACTGTTCTTTGGAGAGTCTAAAATGAACACCTAAAGGTGTACTTATTGGTTTAGCATCATACATGTTGAACCTGGAGAGTAATTTGTTGATGTACTCAGCCTGTGATAACATCAAAGTCCTCATCTTTGTGTCTCTCTTAATCCTCATCCCAAGAATCTGCTTTGCAACGCCTAGATCTTTCATTGCAAACTGCTTCGACAATTTTTGCTTCAAGTTTATTATCTCTTGCATGTCTGAGCCTGCAACGAGCATGTCATCAACGTACAACAATAAAATAATGAAGCTGTTTTCGAACTTCTTGATGTAGCAACAATTATCTGCTTGGCATTTGGTAAAACCACTGCTACTCATGAACCTATCGAACTTCTTGTACCACTGTCTAGGAGCTTGTTTTAAACCATACAAGCTCTTCTTCAACCTGCATACCAGGTTTTTCTTGCCTGCCTCTATGAAGCCTTCTGGCTGCCTCATATAGATTTCTTCCTTCAAATCACCATGAAGAAAAACTGTCTTTACTTCTAACTGCTCAAGATATAGATTCTCTGCAGCTACAATTTTCAACATCAGTCTGATTGTAGACAGTTTCACGACTGGAGAGAAAATTTCATTGTAGTTAATAAATTCTTTTTGCTAAAAACCTTTGACAACCAATCTTGCTTTGTAGCGTTTGCTCCCATCGTGCTCTTCTTTGATCCTGTAAATCCACTTGTTATGGAGAGCTTTCTTGCCTGATGGTAATTCAGCTAATTTCCATGTATGATTTGACATAAGCAAGTCCATCTCATCTTTCATGGAAGACTCCCACTTGACTGAATCCTCTACCTACATTGCTTCATCATAGCACTCTGGTTCACCATTGGTAGTCAACAACAAGTAGTGCAAAGAAAGAGAATAACGCTGGGTTGGTTTAAGAATTCTGGAGGAGCGTCTCAATTCTGATGTACCTAGTTCTTCTTGAACTTCTTCAGGACTGATCTGAACATCATTTCCAGAAATCTCCTCAAACTCAAAAAATTCCTTTGTTTCAGTTTCGGTATTGGAGCTACTTGATTCTACGGTTGACCTATCTTTGTACATCATATTCTCATTGAAAATGACATATCTGCTTCTGATGATCTTTTGATTTTCGTAGTCCCAAAATCGGTAACTGAACTCATCACCACCATAACCAACAAAGACACATTTGTTGGACTTGGCATCAAGTTTACTTCTTTCAGCAGAATTTATGTGTACATAAGAAATACAACCAAATACTCTTAAGTGTGAAAGGTTTATTTCTTTCTTTCTTCAAACTTCCTCTGGTATTTTACCATCCAAGGGAACTAAGGGCCCACGGTTGATCAAGTAAGCTATAGTGTTGATAACTTCAGCCCATAGCATTTTGGACAAGCCAATATGTATCCTTATGCTTCTGGCACGTTCATTCAGAGTTCTGTTCATGCGCTCTGCTACGCCATTCTGCTGTGGTGACATGGGAACTGTTGTCTCCATCTTGATCCCATTATTTGCGCAGAAATCTTTGAATCTACTATTTCTGTACTCTCCTCCATTATCAAACCTCAACCGCTTGACTTTCAAAATAGTCTCATTTTCCACCATGGCCTTCCATTTTCTAAAGGTATCAAAGACTTCTGATTTCTTCTTTAGAAAATAGAACCACACATTCCTTGTAGAATCATCGATGAATATGACATAATATAGTGAGCCTGCAAGATTGGGAACTGGAGATGGTCCCCATACATCAATATGAACCAACTCTAACTTTTCTGCCTTGTGTGACTTGCCAATCTTTGCAAAATTGACTTTCTTTTGTTTGCCAAAGATGCAATTCTCACTTAGTCCGACATCTATATTCTTTAGATCCGACAGCTTCCCTTTTGACAAAAGTGTCTTCATCCCTTTCTCGCTCATATGGCCAAGCCTTTGGTGCCATAAGTTTGATTTTCCATCAACATCTGCTACTGCAATGATATTCTCTAAATTTGAGGTTACATAGAGAGTACCAGTCTTCTTACCACGAGCGATGACAAGTGCTCCTTTGGTAATCTTCCATTCACAGCCTGAAAATGTTGTACTATATCCTTCTCCTTCTCCATCAAGTTGTCCTATAGAAATCAAATTTCTTTTGAGGCTAGGAATATGTCTCACTCCTTTCAGCGTCCAGGTGGTCTAGTTTGACAACTTTAATCGGATGTCTCATTTTCCGACGATCTTCAAGGTTTCATCATCAGCTAGATAAACCTTCCCAAAATCACCACTGACATAGTTCTCTATGATTTCTTGGCATGGGGTGGAGTGGAAAGATGCCCCTGAATCCAAGATCCATTATTCAATCGGACTGTTGACGCTTAGAATCATGGCATCACCTATCTCCTCTGTCATGTTGGCAGATTTCTGTGCGTCGGTATCTTTCTTCGGTGCTCGACAATCTCTTTTAAAGTGACCCTTCTTGCCACAATTATAACAGTTAAAATATTTCTTTCCCGTTCTTGATTTTCCCGTTCTAGATTTCGATCTGCCACGATTTGAATTTCTTTTTGAAGTTCTCCCTCCAGACTCCATGTGCAAGGCTGAGGAGCTTGATGCTTCACCCGATTCTCTCCGTCGAATTTCTTTACTCAATACCAGATCCCGAATATCGTCGAATTTCAATTTACTGTTTCCCGACGAGCTGCTGACTGCTGTAACAGTAGCATTCTAACTATCTGGTAGAGATGATAAGAGAATTAAAGGTCGAACTTTATCGTCGAATTCAATTTCCACGGAACTCAACTGGGTTGTGATTGTGTTGAGTTCATTTAGGTGTTAAGCTACTTATGCCCCTTCCGCCATCCACAAATTGAATAATCGTCTCATCAAGTGAACTTTGTTTGAGGCCGATGACTTCTCATACATACTGGAGAGAGCCGCCATAAGAACCGCCGTGGTCTTTTCCTTTGCTATGTTGAAAGCAACATTGCAGGATAACGTCAGTCAGATAACTCCGAGGGCTTGTCTGTCGAGAAGAGCCCAGTCTTCATTCTTCATGCCCTCTGGTTGCTTTCCTGAGAGAGATTGATATAGATTTTTCTGGTACAGAAAATCTTCAATATGCATCTTCCAAAAGCCAAAGTCCGCACCATCGAACTTCTCAATTTTCATCTTCCCTTCGTCTGCAGCCATCGCTCCCACTCGAATCTGGCTTCGTTTGGATCGTTTCTGACAATTTCTGCGAACCATCGTGTATTAGAACACCCCCGTCGATAAACTCATATCGCCGACCAAATATTACTATTCACGAAATTTACTATTCACATAAATAGTAACCTCACAGAAAAAACTGACAAAATTAACCACCAAAAGCTCTGATACCAATTGTTGAGAAATAAAATGAGAACGAATAATTTTCCTATAATTATATTAGTGAGAATACGAAATAAAAGCGAAAAAATAATACCCGAAATTGATAACGAAGTTCATCCAATTATGCTTACGTCTCCGGACTGCTGCAGATCTTTTACTAAAGTGAAAAAATTTACAGCTGTTTACAAAACACTCAGAACTCACAAGAAAGCTCTCTAATATTGGGAGAAATAAATGATTTGGGATAATTTTGAAACTAAATGTGTTAGAGTATTTATAGATGAAGCTTAAGGACTAATCTTATAAATATCCTAAAGTATGCAGAGACTAAATACAATTTTCCCATTCACTTTTTAATAACTGCTCGTTGAAATCTATTTTAACGGTGTTAAACTTTGAAATAAACCAGTGTGCGTGCCAACTTTGCTTAACTTTCAACAGTAAATATAGGAAATTTTTTAGAATAATGAATTTTTTGGATAACAGAAAAGATTAACCTTTAGGGGGTGTTTGGATGGAGAATGTGAGATTCCTATGGGAATTGAATCCACATTCCCCCGTTTGGGGTATATTTTTTGGAGTATATTACCGGGAATGTCATTACCTCCATTTCCTTAGGTATTGTTGGATTACTGGCGTTTTGGACTAAAATGCCCTTAAATTTTTATTTTTTAAAAAAAATATTATTCTTCTGTCATTGAATGATAAAAATTCTACGAAGGTTAAATTACAAATTTTATCCTTAAATTATTTTAGATTTTAAAAAAAAATCTATAATTAAAATTTTATATGAAGTTCACGGATTAAAATAAAATTTTACCATTTCATTAAATTTTTTTATATTTTTAATTTTGTAAAAAAATTATATAAATATTATGAATTTAAATTTTTTAAAGAAAATATATAAATATTTTTCAACTTGTAATATTATACAAATATATAATAAAGACAATTTAGTCAAATATATATATCAATAATCTTTTATTCATTTAACCAAACACGGTAATCTTACATTCCTGCTAAGCCAACCAAACACAAAATACAACATTCCCAGTAATCTTATTCCTTGGTAATCTTACATTCCCACTGGTAATCTTACATTCCCGTAATCTTATATTCCTACTAATAATTTTACATTCCGTGAACCAAACGCACTTTAAATAAAATATAAAAATCATGAATAAGAACACGCAACAGGTAAAAAGTTTTGTTTTGTTTTTCCTTTTGGGTGAAGAGAGTCCCATTTAAGAAGAAAAAAAAGCTCTGTTGAATCGTCCGCGCCCTTTACGCGGCTTTTCCACTTTCGTTCCGTTTTCCTTTCCCTAGTAACCAAAAGAGAGAAATAAAATAAAGCTAGAGAAAATCCTGATCCCTAAAGTCAAATCATCCTCAGCAGACAAACAAAGAATCTAGCCATGGGTAACACCGAGAAGCTCTTGAACCAGATCATGGAACTCAAATTCACATCCAAATCGCTGCAACGCCAGGTGAGGAAGTGCGAGAAGGAAGAGAAATCTGAGAAATTGAAGGTAAAGAAGGCGATAGAAAAAGGTAACATGGATGGAGCTCGAATCTACGCTGAGAACGCCATTCGCAAACGCACTGAGCAGATGAACTACCTGCGGCTCTCGTCGCGGCTCGATGCCGTTGTTGCCAGGCTCGATACCCAGGCTAAGATGAACACCGTTAATAAGTCCATGGCTAATATCGTTAAGTCTCTTGAATCTTCCTTGAGCACAGGTAATTTCTCCGTCAAATGTTTTACTTTCAAAATTTTGATCGCCTTATGCTGATCTCTTTTAGGGGAAATTAGCAGACATTTTATGGTACAATTGAAGAACGAAAAACATCATAATCCGGCGTTTCTTTTGGGGGTTAAATTGGCCCCAAGTGAAAATATTGTGTTTATATTACCTTAAAATAAATTCATTCAAGTTATGCTATTTTTTTACTAAATTACTTTAAATTTACGGCATAATTCCATAATTTTGGATGTCAGTGTGATGAAATTCGGTTTTTTATTCGTTGTAGGCAATTTGCAGAAGATGTCTGAGACAATGGATCAATTCGAGAAGCAATTTGTGAATATGGAGGTCCAGGCAGAATTTATGGAGAGTGCTATGGCTGGTTCTACTTCATTGTCAACACCGGAAGGTGACGTCAACAGCTTGATGCAACAGGTTGCTGATGATTATGGGTTGGAGGTATCTGTCGGGTTGCCGCAACCAGGTGCTCATGCTGTTTCAACCAAGACAGAGGAGAAGGTTGATGAGGATGATTTGTCGAGGCGACTTGCTGAGCTTAAGGCTAGAGGTTAGTGAAATGATGGGTTTGATTTGAATGGTCTTGTGATATATAATCACTATGATGTTTGAGGCCATAATGCTTAAAACATCTTATTCCATATGTAAATTTGACCGAATTGGGGTTTCCCTTTATAATTTTAAATGTTGCATTTATTTAATAGAAATTAGCCTTTAGTGTGAATTTTAGCTGTCCAAAATATCCCCTGAATCCCTGAAATAATTTGGTATGTGGGATGATCGAATCTCCTTGCATGCATTGCTAGAGGTTTACTGGTTTGGTGCTGGTCTTTTGGGTCATGGTGTTCAATAGTTGAAGGCATTTATGCTTGTGAGGGTTGATAAGCAATTCAATATTTTCTTGCACATCAAGTCAATGAATTGGGCTAATGCTGATGAATGTAAGCATGCATTTTTTTGGATGACCACTATTTTCTGCTTAATGTAGAGATGTGAGCTTTAGGGTTATGCTGATGATTGTGTGATTTTCCCTTTTCATTGGCATGTGAACCCACAAAGATACTAACAGTGATGTTTATCCAATAGTTTGATAGTTGTGAATGGATCAAATGAATTCTCCGTCTAGGTTTACATGCTTTAATTTTATGGTTCCACTTTCCTGGCTAAGCTCTTCCAGATTGTGCTCAAATAGGCCATTTTTACAGTTTTGAAATCGAAGATGAAAGGAAAAATGATATATAAAAACGATTGTTTTAGTTAATATTTGGCTGATCCATGGCAGCAATCAATACGTAAGAAGTTCCATATACAAGTTAACTACATGTCAATATCTTTCAACTCAACAAAATGAAGGGCAAATATAAAAATTAGATGTAATTGGAACAAAGAATGGTCATTATTATCATTCTTCCATGGGCAGCGGTTCACAATTTAAATTCACAGACATCTAAGAACTGCATCTATACTGATGTTAAAGAAAAAAAGAAGAGAAAAATTATAGTCTGACAATATCCAATCAAACATTAGTCTACCCTTTCAATAGCACGTTCCCTGGGCTTTATATAACCTCAACCAAGCAATCCATTCAGATATACTTTCGCCATTGACAATGTCCTCGGTTTTGATGTTATCCAGAAAGTGACGCTAGCATTTGTTACTGGTAGAATTGTATGTGCAGCAGCCAGGATCCTTCTCTGGTGCCATTAGTTTCTTAAAGACTAGCTGTAGCTCTCGAGAAAGAAAAGTTATACAGGGAATTGTAAGTTTCCAGTTCCACGAAACAAGATTCTGAACCAGAGAATTTATTACATGAGTGCATCATACCTCGGAAACCTTTATTTTCAAAGGGCATCATACCTCGGAAACATACCTCGCAGAGACTGCTTTTGGAAGTTGAGAACAATGATAGGGTTGCAGGACGACTTGTTCATAGAATATCATCTAAAAGATCCTCAAGGGTAACTGATGACTTCACCACATCAAGTTTGAGATCATAGACGCTCGGAAGAATGATTTTCTTTGGATTTTCATAAATGGTGATGTTCTTGATAAAGCATAACAAGCAAGATAGCAGAAATTTTGAGCATCTTAGACGTGTATAATAACATTTCTTGATTTAAAAACAGTAGAAAAGTGAAATGGGAAAGGAAGATACCTTATCACATCGGACCACCAATTTCAAGCCTCGACTGTAATCGAACTTCTTAATAAATTTTTGCAAACGAGCAAAGCAAGGGGCATGATTAGCTTCATTGTGGAATCAAGATTCGCCTTGCCTTGATGATTTAAAGCAAAGCTTGGCTTCTTTTATACTCCAAGGGCATCATCTTCTCACCTTTGTGATCCAATGAAAGAAGGTTTTGGATGTCAATGTCAGCTCCCTTTAACTGCTTGCACTCTCTCAAGATAAGTGTCTTAAACCGATAGCTTGATATTGTAATATATTTCAAGGCATTACACTTGCTTAAGACCAACTTCTCGACGACAGGGAACCAAGACAGATGGCTTTGAAATGACTCCTCCTTCAATGTAGCATCTTCCAAGGTCAAACTCATAAGCGTGCTGCATGTCAACAAGTCAATTTTGCAGCGCCTTCTTGCCGCAACATATCAAAATGTTTCAAGATTTGGTGATTGAAGGAACTTCATTCAGCTCAGTACAAGCGTGCAGATCAATTCTTTTAAGTTTAGGGAGATTAGAAACCTTTAAAACTTTTAATCGAGTTGAGTAGGCGAGTCTAAAACCCTCAAGCAGAGGGCAGGCCTGAATGATGCTGAAAATGGTGTTACATATGAGACAAAACCTGAGTGCTACTACTTACAATGGGAAACCTGAAAACTCTGGTAACCGTTTCTTTCATGGTGGCCCCGGATATTCCGACAAATACTTGTAAAGTCATTGCAAATTAATAAAATATATGCATAATCTCAATTTGCATGCTTCCATGTTTGTTCTATGCATCCTTTTCAAGAACCCCGAGTCCTTGACTTCATGAATCCAGGTGGTTGGATTCCAATACTTGAAAGTTTTACTGTCCGGCAAAGAAGGAACACCTGGTATGAGTAACAACTGAATTCTTCCAATTGGCTTTTCTCTATTCATGGTTCCTGCTTAACATTTTGAAATTGAAACACTACATCAATGTAACACCATGAAAGCAACTTCCAAGACAACAGTGTTAAAAAAACTATGGTCTCTGAACCAGAATTTGTTGAAGCATAGACCTGGAATCCTAGATAATTAAAGACTTCCAGTGCAGTATATGTCAGTATATGATTTTCTAACGCTGGACAAGATTTCTGCATCCATAAAATACAGAAGCAAGCATTATTGCAGTTGAGCAAAAGTTGATTACTTTTCAAACTTATGTTGTCTATGTACATGTCATTAATACAGATACGAAACCAACAAATATTTAAAGAGTATGCAGTCATTTTCCGAGTGAAGTAGGTCACATTAGACACAAAAACTAATCATACTGATTCCTTTCTTCTTGTATAGACCTGAAGATCCGAGCTGCTGATTCAGTTGCTAATCTTCGGTTATGTGGTACAACCTTAATTACCCGTGTTTGCTCCCTGCTAGTCAGAGCATTGTGAGTACATGCCTGAGTTGTGGGTTTGGTAGGAAAAAGAGGAAGTAGTGCATCCCCTTTAGACCTCTCAGAGGGACTACTTGCTGTACTTTTGATGCAGGAAATTCTCTTAGAGGGACTACTTGATTCATCTGACTTGGCATGTTGCATGAACTCTGTTGAGCTGTGGTGATGTTCACATCACCTGTTGATAACTGATTGTCATTTGATTGGACTCTAGGAAACGAGCTAATCTGCTCGACTGTTGAGCCTGAAACTGTTGGATTCCTAAATGGCATGTCGTGATGTGGAAAGTAGGTCTGACATCTAGGAGGGCTGCCAGGAAGAATCCCAACTCCGTGTCAGTGAGAAGAAGGAACACCATAAGTTGTGTTCAGAAAGTCCGTTCCACCTGCAGTTAGGTTCAGAGGACCACAGCCACCATACACCGGTGCCAAAAAACCTGCAGTTGGAGGACGAGGCCCTCCATACGGCTTGTAGACAAGTCCTTCGGAAGGAGACATTACAGGAACTAACCACTGACTTCCAGATGAAAAAAAAACCCCAAGGAGATGATCCGGTATTAGCAGCCATTGGTGTTGACAATGCATTTGGTCGCTGTGTAACAAGTCCTCTGCTGGCATCATCATCGGCAGAAGGAAGGGGAAGTTTTGCAACTGCATTCTCATCCGCACATTGAGTGCTAATATTTGGTTTTTGGGAATTATTTCTGATTTTAACAATCAATGTCAATTCAGGAACATCGCCAGATGAGGACTTCTTGATTGAAGAACCATTTAAAGATGATTTGCCCATATAATAGGTATCTTCAAACAATATATTTAGTGACTCAGCAATCAACCTCTTAACCTGTTCCAAATGAATTCAAAGTTCAAATTTGTTGAGATTACTTGCATAATTTGCAGAAATGCTTAGCAAGTCCATAATACTCCGATCCATTTACCCTTATGACCGAAAATGCCTTATAATATACGATTTTAACCAACCTTTTTTGGATTTGTGAAAATGACCAACAAATTTGCAACGCAAACTCTAATTTCGCAACTCAGTTTCCAAATTCGCAACGCGAATATGTAAATCGCAACGCGAATTTGTAATTCGCAACACAGAAGTCAAATTCGCAACACATAAGTCAAATTCGCAAAGTGCGTTTATTTTCGCAACGCGAATTTTATTTTCGAATTCGAAACACAATATTTATTTCACAACACAAATATAAACAATATAATCGCAAATCATAACCTAAAACCCTAAATCACAACTCAGTCCCATCTCCATCTCTCACTCTCTACGGCGACATCCGTCCCCATCTCCGACGAAATCCGTCCCCATCTCCGGCGAAATTCGTCTATCTCCATCTCTCAGAGCCACCTTCACAACCATTCACGGTCAGAAATAGAAAATCAACCACCGAGGGTTAGTTTTTTAATTATTTTTATTTTGAAATTTTTGTATTATTATTAGATTTTTCATATTTATATTGATGATAAATTTACTGGTAATTTCAGTAATAGATTAACCATTTCACTTAGATTGCTTAGTAAATTCATTCGGTTGTTGCCAATACTGCTAAACTGTTTAGTCTTTAACCCTGTGAAGTTAGTATTTGCCTTTGTTTTGTCTTTTGGTTGAAGTAATGCAATTCATTCAAGTTTCAATTTGCAGAAGACTATTTGAAACTTAAATTCTTAACACGAAAATGAAAATCGCAACGCGAAACTGAGTTGCAATTTTAAGTTTCAGAAATTATTCTTCTTCTGCAAATTGAAACTTGAATAAATTGCATTACTTCAACCAAAAAACAAAGACAAATACTAACTCCACAATGTTATCTGATGCATTTTGTGAACTATGATAGAATAATGACTTGGGTGAATATCGTGCAAGTTTGAAACATATTTGGCTTTGTTTTCAATGTTTAATATCATGTCTGTTTATAGTGTATAATTTGTAGTTTTTGGTATATCTAACTTGGTATGTTTATTGTTTTTGTAGAATTTTTTTCGGCTTCATTGACCTTAAGGAATAAATTAAGCCTAGCCACTACAATTGCGTCGATGCTTACACCTGTACAAAGAAAATTATTTGAGGATACTTACTTCGGGCCATGGCTGAAAGTACAACATCCGGGTGGAGATGCTATGTTGACCCATTTGTTTCTTCAGACCATGACTAACGATCTACCCGAGAGGATACAACGTGGTGATGAAGAGATATGGTTTCATTTTCCTCCGGCGTATACTTGTTTTGGGCGGGAGGAGTTTTGCTTAATCACTGGTCTACGTTTCAGACACGATGATGTAGGTCGGTACACTAATCATATCGCCCACCCATCATGGTTATCTCGGGTTTTTCCTGAGCTGGCAAAGGTGAAGCTGAGTTTACACGTCGACGGCTTGAAGAGATTATTTGTTAAAGATGGTTTTACTCGGATGGATGACCTCGATGTTGTCCGAGTATGCCATTTATTACTTTTGCATGCCGGTTTTTTAGGCAAAGAGGCCAGACAACCTATTTCTGAGGACCTAATATTATTGGTAGAGGACCTAAATGCATAGAACATGTTTCCGTGGGGTTCATATCTATGGAAAACTACCTGGAAAAAGTTGTTGTATGCCTTTGAGGACCGAAAAATGTTTGTGTGGTCATGGTTCCAAATACACTTTGGCAGGCTTTATTTGGGCCTTTAAGGTAAGAATTTCTATATAATGTTTCCAAAATTATAATTAATTATTTAACAATTACTAATGTTTGTGTATTATATTGTTTGTAGATTTGGATATTTGAGGCTTTTCCCAGCATGCATACATATGCAATAAAAAATTCAAATGATATTCCTAGGGGTATTTCCTGGAGGAGGATCCGACTGTTGGATTGGGAAGAGTTACTACCATATATGACGATAAATGATGTAAGTTAACACAAATACTACCATATATAAACAAGTTATTACTGGTAGACGTTTAACTTTGTTTGAGCTTTTATATTGTTAGGAGGCCAACTATCCATTACAGAGGCTAACACCCACAGAGGCTGAGCTTGCCACTGATTGGTGGCAAGTTAGTAAGCGTTTTTTTGATGGCACGGATGATGAGCAGCTCCCACTTCGAGAGCCATCACCTCACCCAGAGCCATCACCTGATCGAGCCGATTATACACCTCCACAACGAGAGCCATCACCTATTTAATCACATCATCGAGCCTCTTCTCCACCATCACCTCATGATAGGCGACCGACAAAGATGCCACGACATTTATCTCCCTATTCTCCACCTCCACGGGATGAGTTAGGGGAGTTACGTGATGAGGTCAATGCTTTGCGTGAGGAGGTCGGTACTTTACTTGAAGACAATGATGCATGGCGTGATGAGGTACGATCTTTACGTGGTGAGGTAAAGGTTTTACGCGATGACAATGGTGCTTTACGTGGTGAGGTATCTACTTTACGTGATGAGGTAGCCGCTCTACGTGAGATTATTGCATTGTTGCAGAATGAGGTTCATACTCTACGCAATAAGGTAAGTTTGTTTAATATTATACTAAAAATGCAAATAACCTTTTTTCGGCATTATTTATTTGTTTATTTACTGATTTATGTATTAATTTATTTTTA